TAGTACTGAATCCCTTACTGTAATGCCAATATTGTACATCCTGTGCAAACCAGTATTATGGAAAACTATTAGGCATGTTTGCAGGGACCTATTTCTGATAAACCAATGTTCTATAGGCAGGTTTTTTCCACATAGTCAGATATTGACATGCTCATTTAGCAATCAAACATACTGTGCTGTAGGGTGAATTAGTTGCCTGTGTCTCTTGTTCTCCTCTGCCTAATGCTAGGTACCATATTAATCGCCTTACATTGCTTCGGTACCTTTCTCTTGGCTCCAATGACTAATTTTCTGAGGTTCCGAAATTTTCTTCACTACTTCTGCCAAGCCTTCCAGGTGTATCTTGCCCATTCAGACCTGCATATGTGGGCACTGATTTTTGTCTCCATCTCCTGGCTTACCCCTTGCACTGGGATCTCTTCATGCATGGTCTAATAGTAGCGTCTCTGAAGAAATTTGTCTTACATATGCTTTATGTAAGGCGGGTCATGTAAGAAACCCTTGGAAAGGTTATGATTTACCAAATATAGCTGTCCTATTTGTATGTCATCTGGGTCAGCCTGAGCCCCAGTATTTTGAGCCTCAGAAACATTGTCCTTCCCCTGGTGACTTGGATTGCCTCATTTATTAGTCCCCACCCACCACTCCTATCTCTAATTCTTGTTGTAGCCCAATCCCCTTTATCAGTGAAAACTCACCTTCCGGCTTCCATCAGGCGATCGGTAGGTCATGATGTAGTTCTCGATCGGCGCCATTGGTGGCTGCCATGAAAGGAGGGCGCTCCGGCGGGTGACCTCACTGGCGGTCAAGTTAGTCGGGGGATCCAGAACTGCAAAGGCCAATAGGAACCCAGGGAATGGGGCGTCTGACACCCTAGCATTGCTGTGACAGCTGACTGACACAGCATCCTGGATCCATGAATCATAGTGACAGGAGTGCCACGTGATCCACAGAAGTCTGGGATTTCTCACACGCTGCGCATCCTACCCCTTGCTCTCCAGACCAGTTTGCCCATTCCTGGCTTGGAGGGCCCCTTACAGGGCACTAGGAACCCGATAAATATTCCCGACGTGCTCATTTTGTAGTGCTATCGCTCTGAACTGCACACAGCACAAAACCTGTCAAGTAGCCATCTAGTAGTGAAACGGATTCAGTTGCTCTCCTGGAATGGACTCTGGATACAGCCTTACAAGAAAAGGTTCTGATAAGGATCTTGAAGCCATCAGGACTTATCTAAGGGAGGATCAGCAGAAAGGAAGAGCTGTGTGTTTGAAAAGCTGCACCATGTGTATCATTACATTCTGGTTCCCACACCATGCTTGTCGTCGTGGTGTGCCACGGCATGCCATATGCTTAGCATACGAATGTCCTATCTGGGGTATCCTTTATGTAAGATGGGTCATGTGAGAGATCCTTGGAAAGGTTATGATTTACTGACTATAGTTATCCTATTTGTATGTGTGCATCACTCCTGTTTCTGGAGTTAGGAATGTGGGCCTTAGATTTATATTACCAATGTGTTTGTGCTGGGTGAAGCCTTCCACCTCCCCTTCAAGTGCAATGATGAAAAAAGCCCGACAGTGTTGACAGCCCATTAGCAGAAAACAACAGATTGTAGAAGAGCTTAGTCGTCCTGCCACGGGGTGGGTCAGCCTGTGAAGAGTGGCACCAGGGGTCCTCTGGAGACATGTGACCATGTCGCCTGACACTGGAAGCCATCTCGAATTCTGTGCTTTTCCATGGTTGGGTGGGGAATCAGACAAAGGCTTCCTGTCTTATGGAAATTCGATGAAAGGCAGGGAAGGAAAGCAATGATTGTCGTCAGCTGGCTTTGCCTCTGCCTCTCCACCCCCAGGAGATACTTGAAAACACCTGGACTCCAAAGGACTGTAGCTGCTGGATCCAGGCCAAGCAACACCTGGCCTGTGAAGGATTGACTTGAAGCGATAACTAGGGGAGGAAATTAGTATTTGTACCTTGTTACTGAGAGAGTCTAGTTTAGGCTGTATGTTTTGTACTGTTTTCCTAGTAACCCTGTTTGCACTGAAAATACACCTTTTCTTGGTCAATAACATTATTTCCTGTTTATAATGTAACCCAGTTTATGTAATTTCTAATGTGGGGGAGGAGAGAGAAGCTGTGTACACCTTCCTTCACACTGAGAAAGGAGGCAAACTTCATATCACTAGGCTGTACTGTGTGTGTGTGTGTGTGTGTGTGTGTGTGTGTGTGTGTGTGTGAGAGAGAGAGAGAGAGAGAGAGAGAGAGAAAACGAACGAGAACGAACACATCTAGGTGCTGGAGTAAATCTCTTTGTCGTCTGAGTCCTCCTAGACCCAATCTGTGTCTGGATCTGAGCCTGTGGGTTTTGCTAGAGGAGGCTTGAGAGCCTGGCTCAGCAAGATCAGGTAAAAGGGGGTCCAGGCTGCAGGGAAAGGGGGCTCCGTGGTGCCTAAGCACCTCCGGTGACACCCCAGGGGTCCCGACCCATCACACATGGTATCTGGGTGCCTGAGTGGCCCCTGGGCACGTAAAGCAGGTTGTTCAACAACTTATTTGGCTTTTGTTCCCGAGATGGACAAAAAGAAAACCCGCAGACCTGGACACTTAGTTGAGAAGGGAAGGAGTTTCCGTACTTACGAGTCGTAAAGTTGGTGCTGATGGTGCCGCTAGTCAGAGGCCCACTGGTGGCATACATGGTGACCATGTAGCTAGTACTGGGCATCAGGTTAATCAGCTGGTACTCTTGGTTGGCCCCATCCACTAGAACGGTCTTCCCTGCAACTGAAATCAAATGGAGCTGGCTTGGACGGAATACAGAGCCCTTCTGTGGTTAAAGTAGGACTAGGAAAGAACCATTTTGTGGCGGGTTGCCTGGACACACTGGGTGGGATTTTATCATGTGGTGTCACCAGCATGTCTCTGCTTTTGGGGGTGCATGACGTCCCCCTTCTTGCAGATCACAGAGCCATACATAGCCCTCCCCAGCCCAGGGTCTCAACATAACTTACAAAGAGCATCAGGATGATGAACCCCATTTTACAGCTGAGGAAAAGAGGCGTGGAGAGGAAGGGCGAGTGAGTCATGCCAGGTCACAAAGCAAGTCCTCGGGAGTCGAACCCAGCTCCCTCCCTGCTGCTTCCTTACTTCCGACTAGCGTGTAACCCTGTTGCCCTGCAGGCCTTGCGCAGAGCAATTCTGTCTGGTGTCGAAGCAGGCTCGGGCAGGAGTGGGTTTAAAGCAACAGATGCAAGGAGACATCAATTTTCTGTTTGGCGGCTCTACCGGGAGCCACACTGAAATTGGTGAAAAAAATTCCTCCTCAGTCAGAAGGGGGGATTCCCCACCTGGCACCTGCAGGAACTGGGTGTCACCAGCCCAGCAGCAGTGTAGGGAGCCCTGCAGGGCCTGTGACACCTGAATCCTTGCCTGAGGATGGAGCCAATCAGCAATGGGGCAGCCTGCACCATGGCCTGTGGCTTTTCCTCCTCCTGGCTGGGTCTCTGCTGTGCTGGGCAAGGATTTCAGCCTCTCCAGTGCCTTGCGCTCTGCCCCCGTAGCCGTGCTGTCAGCTCTGAGAACCCTCTGCAGCCCTAAAATTCTGCCAGCCCTATGCAAAGGGGGCTCTTGTTTTACCCACTGGCTTCATCATCTCCTGAAACTTCCCCCCTCTTCAGTATAGGGGCAAAGTGGAGGGACTCCATGTTCATATCTAGTTTTGGGGAGCTGGGCTAGCTGTGAGGGCATCTGGAGCTCAGATTTCAGGCTCAGCCTCTGGACTCCTTGTCCCCAGAGTTTAGGAGCCGGGAGAATCGGGGAGGGGGCTACCCTGGTTGGGCGGATCTCCTCTGGGCCAACAGATCGTTCAGGCAGCAGTGGCCTGTGAAAAGCACAGAGCTGTCCTGATCCATAGTCAGAATACCCAGCTGTGTAGGGCACTGCTGGGTCTTAATGTCCACCCACCCATCTCTTCCCGTCCTTGTTCTCTGGCTCAGCTTCCTCCGGAGAGGAACGATTTGACTTACAAGGGAAAAAGCCAACTAGAGCTAGTAGCAGAACCTGGAACATGGGAAGGAGCCAATCAACTGGTAATGAAGCCATCGAACTGGCATTCGCCAGCCCCAGGTATCTCCTGTCAGTGTCTGAATTTACTGTGAGAGTCGACAGGGTTTAAAATTTGCTTGACAAGATTTCATTAGCGTGTTGCTGCAGATTATAAAATCACTTCTCTGACAAACGGTTCTCCCCTGGCCTGCCGTCGGGCAGAGGAGCACCAGTTTAACAGTACTGCCCAGGGTCCCGTAAACCCTAAGGGCCTCCCTGGTAAAGCATGTGTAAAAACATCTCCCTACTGTGAGAGTCGACAGGGTTTAAAATTTGCTTGACAAGATTTCATTAGCGTGTTGCTGCAGATTATAAAATCACTTCTCTGACAAACGGTTCTCCCCTGGCCTGCCGTCGGGCAGAGGAGCACCAGTTTAACAGTACTGCCCAGGGTCCCGTAAACCCTAAGGGCCTCCCTGGTAAAGCATGTGTAAAAACATCTCCCGGATGGCAGTGAAAAATCAGCACATGGCTGGCCGCTCTGCCATCCTGTCCCAGCTCTCCTGGTCTTTGGCAACCAACGCAGAGAGCAACCCCCTGCCCTCGTTCCCCCTAACGAGAGAACCCTTGTAAACCAGCTGCCTTGTGTGTGTGTGTGTGTGGGGGGGGGGAAACAGATGAGTTAATTTCTGAGGCCACGAATGGAATTTACCAAGTGGCACTAAAGCGACATGCAAATCTTGCCGCGTTGCAGGCTGGGGGCCAACCGGGTCGGTTCCCAGACCTACCCGTGTAGGGCGCTAGCACAATGACGTAGCTCTCCACTTTGGAAAGAGGCGGGTTCCACTGCAGCAGGGCTTCCGTTGGGGTGACGTTGGTGGCAGACAGCCCCAGAGGGTGGTCCATGGCTGAGAAGGAACCATAAATTCATCAGGTGAAGGGGGCGGAGAGGAACTGGCCTCGCTCGGAGACGGGGGAGGGGTGAACTGCAGATTAAATCCCAGGAAAAACTTGCTTGGGGTTAGGACAGTGGAGCAGCCTGGCTAGGGAAGTTTTCTCTGCCAAAGGAGGCTGGCCAGCCATCTGTCTGGGGCGGTTAGATGCAACAAATCCTGCAGAGGGCTAGCTGGGATGACTCTCGCGATTCCTGCTAACCCTCTAGTTCTGCGAATCGAGATCCAGTTCACACGGTTTCAGTAGCGACTGTTCCCCCTGGGCGGTTCTTTTTTCATCCATGGGGCCTTTTTTATGCTGCTGCTGCGAGCTCTGAGGGGTGGATTTCTGCTATTGCTGCCTACAGGCTACCCGCAGCTCCCCATTGGCTCGTGGCTACGGTGCATCCCTCCCAGAAGGGCTGGGACTGGTGGCTGGTCCTTTTTTCTTTTGCTGGGGCTAACGCTGGAGTGGGCAAATACCGGCCCACAGGCCAGATCCAGTTTGCCAGGGTGAGCCCCGGGGCCCCCCGCTGCCATACTCCCCTGTGCCTCCGCAGGTACGGGGAATCACAGCTCCCATTGGCCGTGGATCACCATTCCTGGCCAATAGGAACTGCGATCGCCCGCACTTGCTAACCCTGTGGAGCCGCCGCCGTTTTATTGCCCACCCCGGTGCTAAAACATCCTTTCCTGGCAAGCCCATCTTCCACGGCATGTCCTCTGGCCACACGGCGGATGCAGGCTCCCCTCTGCACTGAGGGGTTTGGTTGGACACTAGGCCCACGGGCGCCTGGGTCGCTGGCTGGCAGGTGGTATTTACAGTCAGTGTGTGGGTGCCTCTCTCAGCGCCCCTCTCCCTGAGCCTGTAGCAGGCTTGGCACATCACCGGGGACAGAGGCTGCAGGTTGGAGTCTGAACCCGTGTTAAGCGATGACCATCCAACCAAGGAGGCCACCCTGCTGGGCTGCGCTGCCCTCCTGCCTCCCTGGTTCCTACTCCCTGCCAGCAAGCCGCGCCCGTACAACCCCCTGCTATGCGAGCGCCCCCCACCTGTGTACACCACGCTGGAAATGCGCTCGCTCTCCTCCCGGCCCCGCACGCTGCTCAGGCTGATCTCGTGCCGGGTGGCGGGCTGCAGGCGGCGGAGGGTGTACTCGGCGACGTCGTTGGCCACCGCCGCGCTTTCGGCTCTCCCTGCAACGCGTGGGCAGAACAAAGGGCTTGGTGGCCACCCGTTGGCTCATCTGCCCTGAGCAGGAGCCAGCAGACGCTCAGGCTGCCTGGTGGGGGGCAGAGACCCCGGCACAGCTCTGGGGTACAGGCAGTGTACATTGCCTGGGGTACAGGCAGGGACACAGGCAGTGTACGCAGCCCTGGGGTACAGGCAGCGTACACAGCCCTGGGGTACAGGCAGTGTACACAGCTCTGGGGTACAGGCAGGGACACAGGCAGCGTACACAGCCCTGGGGTACAGGCAGTGTAGGGGACATTGAACCTCTGTCCTGGGGCGGGGAGACACGGGCAGCAATGTGAGTGGCCCTTGGCCTCCTGCCTTGTTAGCCTGCGGGGACCAGGCACTCTGCAGCTCTGGCTTCTCCCTGCAGCAGCGTGCCTCCCGGCTGCTGTGCTAGGCCAGAGTGAGCCAGAAAAGCCTTTGGAGCTGGCTGCTGGCTTACCTTGTGCCGATCGGTAGGACACTCGGTAGTGGTCAAAAGCTGCCTCTGGAGGGCTCCAGGACAAGGTCACTGAGTCCTTGGTTATGTTGCCCACAGTGAGGTTCTTCGGGGGGTCGATCCCTAGAGGTGGCAGGCAGAGGAGCAGTCAGGGCATGGGGCCCCAGTGGCCAAACCCTCCTGTCTCGAGCGCTGGATAGGGGCCAGAGAGGGGCTCCCCGGTAAGCAAGGCCAGGATACACGGCCAGCGTGGGCGTGTGCAAAGGAGTGACAGCGAGACAGGCCACCGGGGGAGCTGCTCCATAGCCAGACTCACAGGGAGGCAGACCTCAAACGCCCTTCGGGGGTCCCTCCCCCCCACCGGGCTCTGAACAGGAGCCGAGGAACCAAACGGCCAGACACGAAGCCCAGCGACAGAGCCCCACTGGCTGCCTGCAGAGGAAGGCTGGAGGACTCAGCCCCTCTCTGGGGTGCTGCTGTGTGTCTGGAAATGGCTTAGCCCCCCTGCCCCGGCCCTCAGCTCCCATCTCTCTAAGCCCGTTTGTTTACAGCAGCTTCATCCTCCGCTGAAAGGAGGCTGCTGACTTGGATTTTGGGCCGCGTGCAGTGTTTGGGCCCCGGCGGAGAGTGCAGGATGAAGGGAGGCTAAATGCTTAATCCCCTCCTATTGTTTTGGATTCGGTGGCCACGGCAGAGACGACAATGCGGACCAGGATTCGTAGCCTGCTGCGGTGGGAGCCCGAGACAGATGATCTGGCTCCGGAGTGCGCTGGCAGGAGGCTTTTGACAAATGGCTTCGCTCGGGGGCAGGTGGGACTGGTGCCCGAGATGAATAATCCCTTTAAAATAACGATTTACCGGGCCAGCAACTTTCCTTTGTGACGATCAGTGACCCGGTTGGATCCCACTTTGGAGGAGTTTTGAGCCAGGAGCCACCGTTATCCCCCGCCCGAGATTAGACGTGAGTATTACGTCCCGCCGGATGACTTTACCTGTTGTGATGGAGCCTACGATGGGCTCGGAGCTGACCAACCCATGCACGGCCACTAGGGACACGATATACTCCGTGGACGGCTGCAAGCCAGACAAGGGGGCGTGTCTCTTGCTGGCATCCAGTGTGACCTGCGTGGTCTCCTCCTTGTCTCTGGGGTGGTAGTTCAAGAGAAACCTGTCCGCCGGAGGGGAGGGGTCACTCCAGGTGATGTTCAGGCTGGAGGAAGTCACATGAGAGAAGTGCAGCTGCGTGATTGGCCGGAACCCTGGAAAGCAGAGAGAGGATTGGTCAGACTTCGAGGGAGGAGCTTCGCATGCAACAAGACGCCTGCGTCGTACGGAACTGAGACGATGCAAGTCTCATTCGAGCGGAGCGTCCTAGGCAAAGGAATGGCTCCGCCCTGAGACCCGTCTCGCTGGGCTGTGTCACTCCTGTAAAATACTGGGCCTCGCCACCCAGCTGGGCCAGATCGAGAGAGGCCAGCGCTGGCTGGGAACGGGAAGCAAACAGAACAAAGGGCGCTCAGGTCACAACAGAGGCCTCGCCCAGAGGCGACTGGTACCTGCTCAGGGGTGGGGAGGGACAACTGAAAGATTCGTCCTCTCCAACAACTTGAGTCCCAGGCACTCCCCCTCTGACCCTCAGTGGCCCCTTCCTGCAGCGCCCAGCTCAGCTCCAGCAGCTGCCATGCAGAGAGGGGCCCTGGCCAGCCAACCATGACAGAAAGGGGGAGGGCGCATCACCCTGCCCGGCCCCCCACGCCTCGCCTCTGGCCTGCCTCCGGGAGACCCCGGACACGCGCTGCGGGTGGGACAGATGTTCAAACTCTGATCCTGCCCATTACATTCCGGGGGAGTGGGGGAGCAGGAATTTGCCTGCTCGTGGGCTCTGCAAGCTTCTAGGGCAGAGGGGGGAGATGGTGGTATCTCCCTGAAGCCACCCGTCCCTCCCAGGAGATGGCACAATCTGCGGCTCGTGAGCTTTCGCACTCAGTGACCCAGGGAGTGACCCCGCTAGTTCGGGGATCGTCGCTGGGGGCCCGCGCTGAGCCGCGTGGGCAGCTCACGCCTGCTGGATGGGCGGTCCCAGACTCGGGTGGACGTCTCTCTCTGCTCGCTCTCGGCCTCGTCCCGGGGCACGGTCACCTCGGAGGCCATCCCCGAGGCCGGGATGAAGGTGACGCGGTAATGGTCGATGGGCCCCCGGGCCGGGGTCCAGGCCAGGGAGACGGACGTTTCTGAGGAGGCCGTCACCACGAGGTCCCGGGGACTGTCGAGCTCTGTGGGAGCAGACCGTGGCGGTGAAGGGTTGTGCCAGCCCCGGCCTCGTCCCGGGGCACGGTCACCTCGGAGGCCATCCCCGAGGCCGGGATGAAGGTGACGCGGTAATGGTCGATGGGCCCCCGGGCCGGGGTCCAGGCCAGGGAGACGGACGTTTCTGAGGAGGCCGTCACCACGAGGTCCCGGGGACTGTCGAGCTCTGTGGGAGCAGACCGTGGCGGTGAAGGGTTGTGCCAGCCCCGGGGTGCAGCACGTGGAGTTCGCTGTTTGGATTGTGGGCAGCTGAGCCTGCCCAGAGGTGACTGTAGCGCAGGCTCTGGGGTGTGAACAGGCGGGGAGGGGCAGGAAGGCTAGTGCTTCTGGCAGCCACAGGTACCCTCCCCTACTCGCAAGACTCAGGCATGCGTAGGAAGCCCATGGCTGTGGGCTATGTAGGAGCTTGTACTGGTGTAACTGTGCCGCTGTCAGCTCTCTGCTGTAGCCACACGAAGCCGCCGGGAGACAGCCCCGAGCGACAGCAATGAGACCCACAGAAGCAGTAACAGAGGCGTAAGCTGTGCCAGCCTAGCGGGCAGGGTGTTGTAGCAGAGGCTGCACCGCACAGCCTGGGTCCCCTATCACGCCCTAGGCTAAGGCTGGGCGTGGGCCTAAGGAGGCAGCGCTGGGCTTTCAGAATGATGCCGGGAGCACTGCGCTGGGTGTTTTATTTTGCCTGTGGCTAGGTCCATGTAACTCACCAGTCCTAGCGTTCATGGTGGCGGGGATGCTCTGCTTGCTCTCCATGATGGCCGATATTCCGACTCCGTACTCCGTTCCCGGCACCAGATCTGCCACACACACACACACACACAGACACAGGATGCTTACACACAAAGACACAGGATGTTTATGTGCATGCACGAGTCTGCGTGTGTGCGTGCGTGTTCCCAACCGCATGACTGCATCACCGTTGTCTCGCCTTCCCGCATTCTCACTTCACCGTCAACCTTGCCCTGGGAACTTCACGTTCTCTGGTGGAGCCGTCAAGATGTCTGTGAAAAGCACCGGTCGCGAGGTGCAAAAGCGGCTGCCGAAAAACGGCCACTGAAACGATCTGGAGGTGCGGAATTATTTCTTGGTGGTCAAGCACCGCCTTCTCAGACGTGCCCCGAGTGAAACGACGGGGGCAAATCTTGGGAGGGGATGCACCAGACCCCAGAAACCAGCCTCCCATTGTGAGAGGTCTCCCAAGCAGCTACCCGAGGAAGCCATCGGCCGTGCAACGATTTCTGTGGGTCCGCCCACATCCGGGAGGTGGAGCCGTGCTACGTGCTCTTGATCGCCCTCTACTGGCACCTGATCTAGGAGCTGTTTAATTCTATACACCCCTGCCTTAGTGCACAGCATCTACTCGACTGGCAGGGTCCACGCGGTCAGTCACTGCAGGGTAGACTCACACCTGAGCTCGCCATGGACTAAACGTGTGCATAGAGCAGCCCAGAGTTACCACTTTAGAGCAGGGGTGGGGAACGTAGGGCCTGGGGGTCCGATGAGGCCCCTGGCTTGCCTGACGCTGGCCCCTGAGGCTCAGGGCTCCCTCTCAGCACTGGGCAGCCCGTACCGGTGTCCCAGCCTCCTTCTGCGTCCCTGTAGGGCTGGAGCGTGCAAAATCTACTAGCCTGGCCCCACCTAGGCTATGGTGCGCGAGGGGGATGTGGGGAGGGTTGTTCTCCGGCTCAGTAAGGGGCCACGGCAGGGAGAGTTTGTTTTTTATTTTTTTGCTTCTCATTTGTGTGCGGCCCCCAACTGATTTTTCTGGGGGGCAGTGGCCCCCAACCCAGAAAAGGTTTCCCCAGCCCTGTTCTAGACCCTGCTTTGAAAACGGAGAGCACTACAGAAGTGCTAAGTCATATTCTTAGAGATCAACACAAGTCACGTTCTCCTGGGCCTCTGAGGATGGGACAAGAAGCAATGGGCTTAAATTGCAGCAAGGGAGAACATAAGAACGGCCGTACTGGGTCAGACCAAAGGTCCATCTAGCCCAGTGTCCTGTCTGCCGACAGCGGCCAGCACCAGGTGCCCCAGAGAGGGTGGACCGAAGACAATGATCAAGCGATTTGTCTCCTGCCATCCCTCTCCAGCCTCTGACAAACAGAGGCCAGGGACACCATTTCTGTCCCCTGGCTAATAGCCTTTTATGGACCTAACCTCCATGAAGCTTAGGCTGGACATTAGGGAAAACTGTCAGAGTGGTGAAACACTGGAATAAATTGCCCAGGAAGGTTGTGGAATCTCCATCACTGGGGATATTTAAGAGCATGTTAGAGAGACGCCCGTCAGGGATGGTCTAGGCAGTGCTTGGTCCTGCCGTGAGGGCAGGGGACTGCACTCGATGACCTCTCGAGGTCTCTTCCCGTTCTAGGATTCTGTGATTCTATATCTTGATTAAATCCGGACCCATGGATTTGTGTATGTCTAGCAGTTCTTAACCTGTTCTTTCTCCATCGAGGGCTGCCCACCTCCTTCCCATTCTGCGTTGCCTAGTGCGGTAGTCTGGGAGCTGACTTTGTCTGTGAAGACCGAGGCAAAAAAAAGCATTGAGTACTTCAGCTTCCCTGGGTCAAAACCTTGCACCTGACAAAGGAGTTTTGACCCATGGAAGCTGATGCCCAAATAAATCCATTAGTCTTTAAGGGGCCGCAGGACTCCTCGTTGTGTGTGTACAAAGCCCTTCAGAGCCAGAGACTCAGCCGGAGAGATGAAAACGTGAGACTGGCTTTGTTCGCCATGGTTTGACGTCTAACGCTGTCACATGCGTTTCTTATTTTTTTGAGGTGCAAATGAAATCCTCAGTAATTAACGAAGGGACGGTCTGGTGTCCTCTGCGGTGGGCACCGCCTGTGCTTTCTGACTCCAGAGAGTGAAATCTAGCTAATTTCCCGGGCACCCGATTGCAGATCACTCTTTTATCTAGGTAGAATATCTCCTCGGTTTCTCTGTCACTTCCCTTTGGCTTCTGATGGGTTTATTTCTCTCCTGCCTGGCCATTATTGATCGCCCCCATCAAGTTAGATAAAGCTGTAACAAACCAGCAGCCAAGCGAGACTCACATCCACAGAAGCAACTTGGCTAAGTTGTGACACAGCCCCATGGGGCAGTCTCTACCTCGGCACAGCCTCCGACCTCTTCCTGTCCTTCTGTGGACTAGGGGGGCAGGGTACATAGGTTGTATTCTCTGCCACTGCACTGCTAGGCGGCCTGCAAGTCCTGCCATGTCTCCGTGCCTTTGTTTTCCCGGCTCTGCTTTGCCTGCCTTGTTCAATTAGATTGTACACTCGGCCTCTCTCACAACCTCTTTGTACTGCACAGAGCTCAGTGGAGCACTGATGTCAGCGGGGGATGGCAAATACTACTCTAAATACAAGTAATAACGATCATTTCGGCACCAGAGCTAGTGTCGTGGCCGGCGCTTCTGCGTGGAAAATCTGGCCCAATTGTGGGTGCCGAGCACTGGAAACCGCTCCGAGCTGGTTGGAAAAGCTGGGCCCGAGCAGTCGCAGGAATCTCATCCATTGGCCCCACCTTGATCAGGAAAGTCAGGCCTAGACAGCAGGGCTGGTGGGGTGGCGTTCCCCCAGGCTCTCGGCAAGTGCTCCGAGTCCTCCTGCTGGCGCATGTGATCAGATCACAAAGAGCTTTGTTCTTTGCTCTGGCCAGGGAGAGGGAAGCCAAGCAGCTAAACCATCCCTGGCTCTAACTAGTGACTGCATAACTAGTGAGGTGTGAACAGGCCACACCAGAGGTCCTGTTCTGTGCACGCTTCCTCTTGGCACAGTCGTGGACTGGGGAATCCAACTCGGATCTGCCCTTTTAACAGCTGCCAAAACGTCCCTCCCTTTCCCCGCATCTGTGTGTACAGAAAAGGGAGAGTCCTAGTCCTCCTCCTTCGCACGGGCCCATGCAAACACCAGGGCCCGTTGTGCAGATGCAGCAGAGGTCTGGAGAAGCACCCTGCCTGAATTCAGATGGCACCCGCACCGTGTCCATTCTCTCCAAGCCACCTTGGTCTGCAAAACCAACCTGGCAATCGGACCATCTTCTGAGATTGCCAGGACTTCCAGCTGCTGGCTCTGCAGGGGGTACCAGGAGGTGGCCTTTTCCTGCCCAGGTTTGATCCAGGATGCACACGAAAGTAAATCAAGAATAATACAGCAAACTGAAACTGCAGCACCTCCCAGGTTCTGAATGTCAAGGGTTGCTATGAGCTCTGAAGAGGCGTCTGAGAGAGGGTGCAAAAAGACAAGCAGCAGAAGCAGCCAGCTTTGTGCCAAGAGAGAAAGACAAAACAAACACTAAAAATAAATCCCCCACTAGGGCAGAACGTCCTTGCCAGCAGAATTAAAAGAAACATGTTTCATGCGTCTGTGTAGCCCAGTCATGAGATGCAGCACAGACCAGCTACTGATTCTGTGCGGCGTGAGAGTCCTGCTTTTCCAAGCAGTTCAACTGAGATGAGAGATCTCTTCTCTCTGGCTCCTTCCTTCCTTTTGTTCTCAGGACAGGGGATTCCTCCAAGGCCCATGTGAGGATGAGTGATGGACAGCAGCTCCAGGCCCATCTGGCCAAAAACCAGGGAGGAAGTTGGCCAAAGTTTAAGAATAGCTGTGCAGGTTATTTTGGGTTTGCCTGTTTGGAAAAGGATCGGTGTTTTCAGTTATTGGACGTGTACGGCAAAATGTTCGGGTTTGGAATTTTCCATTTGCTCCTCCACCTCTCCTGTTTCCTCTGCAAAGGGGGAGGAAGAGCACGAGGGAAAGGACCAAGAGGCAGCAGGATCAGCAGAGAAGGACCAACTAAAAACTGACCGTGTTTATTTTTTGATTTCCTGGGCGATAAGACCCTGGGAAATTAAAATTAAAACATTTCCCACAACAATTTCTGAGTCTGAAAAAAGGCAGGTGTCCAGCTGAAACATTTAATTCCAGCGCCGCCTCCGCCCATGTGCCAGGGTCACAAACATGATCTTCCATCAGCTCCCCTTCTCCAGCGAGGCCAGATCCTTGGCCGACGGAAAGAGACTCTCATGGAAAGACACCAGTGGATGCCAACTGGAGATCTTGCCTTACGCGTCTGTTAATTTTTATTGCTGCCAGCACTGGCAGCTAATGGTGGAGAGGGAGCTGGCATATGCTCTGAGCTGTCTCTCGTCAACAGAATTGGTCTCTGAGTTCTGTTTGCAGAATCCCAGTTGCTGAGAGGCAGCGTTGGACAGGATGCGTTCAGACCCTAGACATGGGTAAGAGGGATAGCAGCTCAGCTCTGCTTTCACCTTTCAATGGAGCCAAGCCGGTGGTAATTAGGTGGGGCCCGCTACCGCACAGACCCACTTTTTCGCCTGTCCTTGTACGTTGTACCAGCTGAGTATGAGCTAGTTCACTCAACCAGCCAGTAGGTGGCAGGGCTAGTCCACGCAGTAGGCTCTCCCCAGCCCCTGTGAAATCACTGGGCATCTTGGCCGACATGGCGCTGGGCTATCGGTGTCCAGGATGAGCAGTAGCTAAGGGTCAGGCCAAAGATCATTAGACCTGGGCTGCTGGGCTGGCGTGCACGGGGGGCCAACCAGGAGGCTGCGGTTCAGGGACACCTGCCGGGGATTTGGCTGCAGAAAGGATCCATCTGTCCAGAAGACCCCATGAGCTGGGATTCCCCTCCCAAAATCACATACTGTGGCTGACAGGCCAGCAGGCAGATCCTCTCCTTTGGGGGAAAAGGAAACCAACCGGCTGCGGGAAGAGAGAGGCAGGGAGGGGACCGTGGGAAGGAAAGGAGATGGAGAGCTGGGAGAGCCTGAAATAGTCTTTTGTTAGGTGTCCACCCATGCAGGACCGAGTCCAGTGAGGGGTTCGGTTCCCTCCGCGTGGACATGCCCGTTCGTTCTTCACTGCAGCACCCAGCAACGTACGGGATGAGCCCAGGAGCACAGCTCTCTCCAGAGAGTAAGGAAAACAGCCCTTTCCCAGGCCACTGACAGCAAAACTACGTGAGCCCCCTCCAAAGAACCGCATCACTGCATCCACTCCAGAGGCAGCCCACTGCTCGCGCGGTGCCGTATCCTGGCCGGAGCGGCAGCTGGGGATCCCAGGCGCTCGTGAGGCGGCGGAAGGCAAATGCTCTTTCTAGCAGTGCACAGCCTGGCCCGGTTCTCTCCCGCTGCGTCCGCCACAAAAGAAAGGAGAGTTGCACGTTGACAGGGCCAGCAGGACGTTCCTTGCCACTCGGTTCTCTCCTCCCACTGTCAGCATGCCCGGAGGCACGGATGCCAGGCCACCTACATAGAGCTCTTCCCTGCGGAACTTCCTCCCTTCTTGCTCTCTGCCCTCTGGACTCCAGTCCAGCCAGACTGCCTCAGAGGAGCAGCGTTCGCCTGGGCCGGTATTTGGCTGGGAGCTCTCCAACGCCGAGGAAGTGGTGGTGGGTACTCAGCAGATGCCAGGCATCCCCCGGAGCCAGCGACGGTGCGGTGCTCTCGTGGCATTCGGAGTTTGGGGCTAGCGGTTGGGTGGCGCGTAACCCCCACGTCCTGCCCAGCTGTGATTATTACAGCTGTCACAGCACTCATTGCAAAAGGAGGGACGCTAGCGCTGGAGGCCGGCTCGGTTTCCAGCTTGGCTAATTACCTTCTGCTGACCTAAATTCCTCTTGCAGCTTAATTGGATACTGCTGGTCTTTTTCCCCTGCCTCTCTCGGGGGAGGGGGTGAACCAGCTGCCAGTCTCCCATGATGGGCAAAGTCATTCCTGTGTTGTCTCTTGCGGAGATTGCGTTCATCAGCGGTTTACAGTGCTAGAGTTACCCTGTATTTGATTTCCCTATACAGTGCTGAGGCTTTCAATGGGTGTTGGAAGGTGATAATGGAAAAAAGACTCTAAATAAAAATGAGTCATTTACACTGAAGTAGCGTCTGAGTCTATGGAGATGAGCCGTGTAAAGGAAGAGTAACAAGAGGAAGGGGAAAGAATCGTTATGGAGTGTGTGCCGGGACAGCGCTCCTTAGGGGTAATGTGGGTGGGGTAATGTTGATCTTCTCCGTAGTGTAGACAAGCCCTAGGATCCAAAACTCAGTTGCTACCCCAGCCAGCGGCAAGAAATACAATAGTATCGTAAGTCTTATTTCTTCACACAATGTGCAATCGACCTGTGGAACTCCTTGCCATAGGATGTTGTGAAGACTGGGACTTTAACAGGGTTCAAAAATGAGCTAGATACCTTCATGGGGGACAGGTCCATCAATGGGTATTAGCCAGGGTGCGTAGGAAGGGTGTGCCTAGCCTCTGTCAGAGGCTGAAAATGGGGGACAGGGGAGGGATCACTGGAGACCTGATCCTGGATCTGAACCCCTTTGGGTTTGAAGGGAGATTTGAGTGCAGCTCCAGGTGTCTCAGCCGTGGGCCAT